TTATTATATTGTTCAAAAAAATCTTAAGACCAAGAAGATGTTGATTTGCACAGTTAGAAGAATTTAAGCAGGCACATGGGCACAAGAGTGTGTGTGTGTTTTTTGGGTCCATCATAAAAGATTATGACAGGTGAGTTTTCGAAACGAAAGGCTCTCGCTGAATAAAGGACCTATACCTATTCTTATTCAAGTCGATGGAGCAAATTGCAGGAAAATGAAAGCTGATCACGACTAAATTTGTAAGATTTCAAGAGGGAAATTAAGACATACATAGCGTTCTCTTCGTTGGTCATCGGATTGGACGAAGCTCGTCTCTCCGTTGACATCATCTTCGACTTCTGTTTTTCTTATTATTTGGGCTAATTTCCTCTGATCAAAGTTTCTACCTTTCTGGGGGAAACGATTAATTGACTCTATCTAAAATGATGTTCACAATACGACAAAAGAAACTACGAAATTTTGATCGGAAGTCGATTGGAGAAAACATTTTCCGGTCGGTACCATATTTGTTTCGCTTCTCCCTCTGATAAAAATGATTAGTAGTTAATTAAACAAAGCCAGAATCGAAGAAAGTGGGTCTACCGGTCTACAATAGGCCCAGACCCGTACCCAACCCCAACTGTTTTTGGGTAAGAGTCATTTTTGTTTTGTTCCAACGGATATTTTTTTTTTTTTTTTACTATCTGATACTATTAAAACTTAAGATGAAATACATAGTATGAACCACAGTCCCCCGACACGAGAGCCACAATTCCACCACAATAATCCTGACACAGGGGAACCAAATTCTAAAAGAGAACCCCAATCTCACCACATGGGAACCAAGAGAAAAACATTACAACCGAAAGCCAAAGAAAACATTTTAGAGATAAGAAAACTAATAGCTCTAATGAAAAGACGATAACCAAAAGACGACTAATCCAGAACGAGTTAATATGTAGAAAAACCTAGAGCTTTATTCATCTTAAATGAGTGATAGCAGTCCTAATCCCAATCTATTGCTCGTGTCCAATTCAAACTGAGATAGGGTGAGACAAGGGCATTAGAACCCGATCAAATCCGTGCCAAAGAACTCCGTTAAAGCAAACTGATTTTAAAACCGGAGATCAATGATCTATTGGTTGTCTGAAACTCAAATCAGGGGTCCTAATCATAGCCTTGAACATAGAAGCACGGGCGGTTCTCAGCCTGTGCAACCGGTACAACAACACCGGGCTCAAAAATTTTTTGCCCAGCCCTAACCAAAACTATCTGATATATGCTCGAAACACATGATTTAAATCCGATTCATACCCGTTTTGATAAAAGAAAAACAATAATTGTATAAAGAATATATACCTGGTCGTATTTCTTTAACCTGAAATGAAGTGGACGGACTATAAAGAAGCAATCCAACAGTCATCGAGCGAGTTGAAAAGCTTCTAGTTTACCTAGAAGGATCCCTTCCTAATGTTACAGTTTCACACACAGGTCT